TTTATTATTAAGTGACTCTATTTCTCTAAGTCCTCTTGGTTACTGTAGGTTTCCATGTGTTTGGCACATAGTAGATCAGTATAAATACTTGCTGAGTGAATGAAGGGAAGAAGGAAATCTGGTGTACTTACCATGGGCATGTTATTCTGGGATAGGCATTGTCTTTTTTTTTTTTTAAGATTTTATTTATTTATTTGAGAGAGAGAGAGAGAGCATGAGACAGGGGAGGGTCAGAGGGAGAAGCAGACTCCCTGCTGAGCAGGGAGCCCGATGTGGGACTCAATCCTGGGACTCCAGGATCATGACCTGAGCCGAAGGCAGTCGCTTACCCAACTGAGCCACCCAGGCACCCCAGGCATTGTCTTTTGATCCAGCTCCTTGCTGCAGCTCAGCACTGTGACAATGGTTTTTTGAAGATGGCAGTCCAAACTTGTGAACAAATGAATAAAAAAGACAAACTTTATAGGCAGTATGTAATTATTGCAATTCTTGGAAGAAGGGATTAGATTTGACAGAGAAGATGGAGTAATATTGTAGTGGTGTGAGAGGTGGTTTGGGATTGATTATACAAGGTAGGCAAGAAGAGAGAGATGTGATGGTAGTTTAACTATGGAGAGTATATTGTACTGATATAGAGGGAGGGATTTATCTTTTTGGCAATACAAAGAAGGAAGCAGTAGGAGAAAGATTGAATATCTAGAGATTTTATTGACTTATTTGAGAGAGAGGGTGAGAAAGTGAGAGAGAGCATGAGAGTAGGGGGAGGAGCAGAGGGGGAGGGATAAGGAGGGGGAAAAAATCTCAAGCAGACTCTGTGCTGTGAGTGCGGAGCCCAATGCAGGGCTCAATGTCATGATCCTGAGATCTTGACCTGAGGCAAAATCAAGAGTCCGATGCTTAACCAACTGAGCCACCCAGGTGCCCCGTGATTGAATATCTAGAGAAGGAGTCAGAGGGAAACTGACATTGGTTTACTAGGTGACTGGGGAACTAATAATGGAAAGTTATACAAAGAATAGTGAATGATAATGAGAAGGTAGATTAACACTTCAATTGATCTTCAGGAGAGGCAATGTAAATTGGTTATTAGCAGAAGTGATAAGCTAGTAAGGATGGCCATAGGGAGAGTTGATTATGGGGACAAAATGGTGAGTATAAAATTATTAGAAAATAAAATACATTTTTAATAGCTTTTTGAAAGAAGTTTTAAATATATATATTTGTACTATTAAACTTTTAATAAATAACTTTTGGACATACTCTTAAGTTATTAGAGTTTTCAGGTCTAGTAATTATGACCTGAAATAATTTATTGATCAATTAAATTCACTTTTAAAGAACACTTTATTTATTTATTTGAGAAGAGGGAGAGAGAGGGGAGCTGGGGCAGAGGGAGAGGGAGAAAGAGAATCTTAAGCAGGCTCCACACTTAGCACAGAGCCCGACATGGGGCTCGATCTCACCACCCTGAGATCATGACCTGAACTGAAATCCAAGAGTTGGACACTTAACCAACTAAGCCACCCAAGTGCCCCTAAAGAACATTTTAAAATTCAAATTATCCATATGCTTAAAATAAAAATATTTCTCCACAGCAAGTTATTTTTATATTTCATATATTTATATTTTATATTTCAGAATATAATATTTTATATTTCATCAGTCTTTGTCCTAAGATCCTTGATAATATTTTATATTTATACACTACCTTTGATTTTCATGCAACTCAATTCCAGTTTATTAATGAGCCTTATATCACTTTTGACAAATACATTGAAATTTCTGACTTAATTGTATTACTAAAATTTGATTAGAAATTAAAATCTGTTTTTAATTTCTTTTCTTGGAAGGCTTGCTAGTTCAAAGAGAAGGACCATTTTGATTAGGAGTCATCATTCTCATTCTTCCTCTTTCTTCTTCTTTTTTTTTTTTTTTTTTAAAGATTTTATTTATTTATTTGAGAGACAGAGAATGAGAGACAGAGAGCACGAGAGGGAAGAGGGCAGAGGGAGAAGCAGACCCCCTGCTGAGCAGGGAGCCCGATGTGGGACTCGATCCCGGGACTCCAGGATCATGACCTG